AAAACCAATCCCTAATTATTAAAATAATTACAAAAACCAACATATAATTTTTGTTACAAACAAAGTATAGCATTTTCTAATATAACATGTTACTAAAAATGAGAGTACAATGCTATATTAAACATTAAAGTATAGAAATGACAAAGGAAGAATACGGTTAATCCATGCACTAACCAAAGGCATGCTTCAATTGATCATCTTGTGTATCAGGAAGAAAGGAAAGTATGTTGTTATTTTTTTCATTATCCCTTTGTAAAATAATCATAAAATTACAAAGATTTTGCAACTGTAAGCTGATAAAATAATCATAAATAAAGTAATATAATTGCTTCTATAAACTAACTAACAACAACTATGAAAGTGGACATTAAAGTGATATCACAAAATAAGTGTTGCCAAGTAGCAATAGATTAATAACACTGCACCTTTATACACATTCTTGTAGATTTCCCTGTAAATTTTGAAATCAGGGAGAAATTAGTGATGTAGATCTATTTGGATAATACAATTATCATCCAGGGAGACTTGGATGACAGAAGCAAGAATGGGATCTGCCAACTTGACCATTCTTAAGTTTAATGGACAGTTGGTTACACTTTAGAAACTATATACATGTATCATTTGGTCCACATTGTTATCATTATCACATTCGCCTTCTACATCAAGCAAAAAGAACGATCAAGTGAAAGAAGAAATACTATTTTCAGGATTACTTGCATTCTATAAGTCAAGTCGACCAACATCTAAGCCAAATCTACTTCTTATTTGGCCAAAAGCAACTGAAATCCCTTGGCCTCTAAGGCCTCTAATGCAACCTGAAAAATGTACTTTAAACAATTATACATTTTAATCGTGACATAGCAACTCCAATCACACCAGGTTGGATCCACGGATGGCATCAATTTCATATTTTCATGATTCTTTGTAACAATTTTGTGTTCAATCCTGTAAGTAGGCGGTAACCTGCCATTACAGAAGGCAAACTGTAGACTTCATGAATGAAACATATAACATTCTATCATAACATTCTATCAGAATAAGTTAAAGCCAAATAAAAAGTGAACCATTACAAAAATAGATATAAAAGTTAAAAAGCAGAAGCATGACTATTAAGAGAAAAAAAAGACAAACCTAGTGAATTCGAAAGGTATATTGAATCTAGTTGGATCGATTCCCCTGATTTCTCCACCAAATAATTACAAAGATCTTGGGTACTATGGGTGAGGATCAGAGAAGGTAAGATCATAAACAAAATGAAATAAAAAGATGGATAAAAATTTTAAAATCATACCTTGCATTAAAACCGAGAAACACATAAATATTTGCACAAGATTCACCGCCAAATACGCACTTTCATTGCCAGCGGCCTGCAGGACAACATCTTCATGGGTTATAGCTTTCTGAATTTTAACTCCATGTATTCAAGATGCATTACTGCAAAACCCTAACAAAATCGATAAATGAAATTTTGAAGAACCCTAACAAAATCGACCGATTATTTAAGAAATTTTATGTAAAAATCACAGCAAGCGCTTTTTCATTGCATTTTATTGATATATGATTGTTGTCTAGACTTTTACCCATGCTTTTTCCTCTCCCATGCCTTCAGGGAAAGTGTGTAAATAACCTGGGTGGTGAGGGGGCTGTGCAGCGAAGATAAGATTGATTTTGATTCCTTGATTCCCTTCTTTATTTCTATCCAAATTAATCGGTAGCTATGAGTTCAATCGTGACTGCACCAAGCAGTTGTGATGAACATCTAGGGTTCTTAGAAATTGGTGGTGGTCGCCGTAAGGGCTAGAGTTTCTGATGCCGATGATTAATACATATGGTTGTGGAAACATTGTTTTAGCGTTTTCTTGTCGGTGGGTGGAGGTGGTGGTTTTGACGATGTGTTCTTCTCTGTGCGAGATTCAGGGTTGTAGGTTTTGGTGACGGCTGTAACAGATGTAGAGGTTTCAAGTATGTTGCTTCCTGTGATCACATCGAGTTTGGGAGTGAAGAACCAAATGAAATCCTAAGCCAATATAGAAAATCGAAAAGTGCAAGAACTCAAAACCTTATTCTAGAAAACATAAATCGATTTAGGGTTCTTAGATGCTACTACCGGACAGGGGAGCGTTATCGTTGGTTCAACAACCATCGCCACACACCACCAGCTCCAAAACTTTCTGCAAAAAAATTGAACCAAATCATCAAAAGAAGAAGATGACGAAGACAAAAGAATGACTGGGGAGATAGCAAACCACACCAAAGAAAAATAAATTGGATGTAAATGGTGGTCTCTATAGAGATTATGAATGAATCACAATAAAAAGAAAAATCGATGGACAATGAAAATCAAAAGAAAAATCGTTAAAAAAATTAACATCTTGGTTTTACTTCCTTAACAGGCTTCAATCGATTCGGGTTGTTGTTCTTTTCCATGCACCAAATTAGAGTTTCACTTGATACCTTCGTAGATACGTGTGTTTATCGGTAAACAATAAAAAGGGGAATGATCTGATTGATGGTGCTGATTGGTTTCTAATCGAATAATGAGAGAGGAGACATTATATAAATATATAAGTGCAGATGGTGTTTACCTATTCATTTGGCTTAAAGCTAGGAATACCAATACCAATTTAAATCCTCTATATTCGGTAAGATAAGCATGTAGGTTTGAATGTTTCAATATTAATTTTACACTTGTACTTTATGCATTGTATTTTGTAAATTGTTGATGGTTTGTTGTATTATTAGCTTAAACACTTGGACGTCTTAAATCTATTTTAAGAAATAGTAAGGTTTGTATAATAATATAGTAAGATATATATATATATATATATATATATTATATATATATATATATATATATAAGTTCAGTAATTATTCACGAAGTGAGATAATCGTGTGTATTTTAGTTTTTGTGTATTCACATATATCTAAATTTGTTATATATTTCAATAAAATTATGGTTTTAACTTATGATTTTGACTTATATAATTTCCCAAAAAATATTTTATACATGAATTACCAAATCTGAGTATTCGCTACTCGGTGGTCGGCCGAACGAGTACCGAATAACGAGTTCTACAACTTTTTCACCACCTTTAGTGGCTATGATGGTTTGAAAACCCTCGATCTAACATTGTCGTCATCGATGATGATATCTGTAATGAATGGTCGGCTGGAGGAAGTATGTTTTTTGGGTTTTATTTCACATTGTGTGGGTAGTCAACTGGTGTAGTTTTCATCGAGAATGGCCGACTGTAGTCGATGATCGATGATTTCCAACGAGATGATACGACGACGCAAGGTGGTAAAATGCAACGAATGGAGGAGCTGACCCGGAGTGTTTGGTATTTTTATTTAAAACAATAAAGAAAGAAATTAAAATAAAATAAAAACAATTAAATAAATATTTTTTATTATAAATAAAAATAATAAATGTAAACTAATAATCCAATAAAAAGAACTAATGCAATAAAAAATTAAAAAATAATAATTAAATGAAATTAATAATCCAATAAAGTAACACTTACTAATAGGTAGATATTATATGCTAAAAATAATATTTGTTAATAAATAATAATCCAATAAAAAGAATTAATGCAATAAAGAAGAAATTAAAAAAAATCAATTAAAAAAATTAATAATAAAAAAGTATAATTTATTAATATATAAATATAATATCTTAAAAATAATATTTATTAATATATAATAATCCAAGAATTAACGAAATAAAAAAATTAATTAAATGAATTTAATAATCCAATAAACTAACACTTATTAATAGATGAATATTATATGTTAAAAATAATATTTATTAATATCTAATAATCCAACAAAAAAGAATTAATGTAATAAAGAAGAAATTAAAAATAATAATAATAATAATAAAAGTAATACTTATTAATATATATATATATATATAATATTAAAAATAATATTTATTAATATATAATAATCCAGTAAAAAAAATAATACAATAAGAAAAAAGTAATTCAGTTATTTAATAATTCAATAAAATAAAAAAGAAAAATTGCATAATTGGTCCTTGTAGTTTGGTAAAAAGATAAAATTACAGAAATAGTTCCAAGGGTAAATCCGTCATTTGCCAAAAGTTAACAACAATGTTGTTAAACTTTACAAGGTAGGGACCAAGACCACATCAAAACCAACAGAGACCTTTTTTTGCTAATAAACGTTTTTTTGGACCTTATCCACAGAAATTGACAAACAACAATGACCATTTTTACAATTTTGTCAATTTTTTAATAAAAAAACCATATAAAAAAAGCTAAATGAACAACCCTAACCGGAAAACCGAAGCCAAAATTGTTTTTCCCAATTTTAATAGGTAATTTGAAAATTTAGAAATCTATCGGTCACAAAAAACAAAGAAAGAAAGAACTTCAATGACCAAACAAAACCAAACTCAAAAGTTATTGTGCTTTGGTGTCAATATCCCTAAAATTAATAGAAAGATAACGGTGCAAATGATGATATTGTCAAAACTTTTATAACACATTTGGTAAACAATATATTTTTTAATATTATTAGTAAATCTAGTTGGATACACGTGTAGGGGCTGGAAGTGTTATTAACTAAACTATCCAAGTGTGTAGTGAAAATAACACCAACATACGTTTAAAAAGTTTGGCCTTTTTAGTCTTTTTAAATATCCTCCGCTTTTGACTGTAATTCTTATAGATTCGAGGGGCAATTTGCTAAATCTCTCCCTATATAAACCACACACCATCCATTCTCGCTCCCATGCCTCTTTTTTTTCTCTCTTGCCTACTCTCTTTCTCTCTCTTAAACGATAACAGTTCTTTTTTGTTTTATATTTATATTTATATATTTATATTATTTTTTTGAAAATTTATGGTTGTAATTACTATGCTACCCCTGTCTCCTCGGTCCTCACTTGGGGATATTGCTGGAAGATTTGGATTCTTGTTGAGTGGAATTTCTGGAAAATTTGGACTTTTTATGTGCTGACCTGGTGGATCCTCATGCAAGGTACAATGGACCACTCACGTAGACAATTGCCGCCAATGGCGCCACATAAGCGAAAAGTGAGAGATGAAACGTTTGACTTTCTGAAGCCGTCAAGGCCGATAAGACCACCACCACCAAAGCTAGCCAAGCCGAAGACTGTTGCTCCTCCATCCACGGCCCCAATTAAGCCATCATCCAAACCCTCTGTATCTTCTCCGGCTCAGGCGCCGGCCAATAATAACATACTCCTAGCTGGATACTTGGCTCATGAGTACCTCCACAAAGGCACATTATTCGGCCAATTATATACTCCGGCTCCACCAGCTTCTCCGGCGACCAGTTCAGCCGGTTCTAAGACAATGATACAGCCGAGTTCTGGTTCTCTTAATGGGGAAAGGGGAAAGGCTGTTGAGCTGAAGCCGAAGCTGAAGCCAAAGCCAGGCGAGAAGAAACGTATTCACGAGCCGCAGCTGGTCAAGAATCAAAGGTACGCCGACGTGTCCCAGCTGCTAAAAGATGGGGTCCACATACCGGGCATTGTTAACCCATCACAGCTTGCTCGTTTCTTGCATCTATAATGAGTTTAAATCATCATTCGTAAGGGATTTAATTTAAGTTTTCGATAAATTAAAATATTTACGTATATATAAAAGATGTTATATTTAGAAAGCAAGAACATCTATAAGATGATGTTTAGACCTTGAGGTTTTGCAGGTGATTATTCGGTACTGAATAGTGAATAATCAGAACTCAGAAGCATGTAATTGATAAAACATGTTGCATATGGATAATGTTTATATACATAATTGCATGTTTCATAATTAGTTTTGTTGCAGGTATGGAATAATTGTTTGATCCCTAAATATAAGAGACAATAGGTTAAACAAATATATGAAATTTATTTATTTCCAATTTAAATCATAACATGCAAGTTGTCGCTTTTGAAACGCACACCCAAAGAATGGGGTGTTTCGCATGTGCATTTTGCAAATTAATATGTTATGTTGAATAATTAGAATCAAGTTCTAAACTATAATAAAAGTTGTAGGATATTGATGTGTTTTTTTAAGTCATTTTGGTAGTGTCCAAGTGCTTAGAAAATTTTGATTATTTAAGAAATTAAAATAAGAGTAATAAGTAAAAGAATGTTGTATAATTGATTTTATTATATCTCTTGATAATCGATTTTGTTGCTTATCAAACTGATTATGTAACTAAATAATAAGATAATCATAAGAAAAAAGAGATAAGTGAATCAAACATTAGAAACCGATTCTTATAACATTGAATATTAATTATAATAATAAGATAATCACATTGAAAAAATAATAATTAGGGTTTGATGGAGATTTCATGAGATGGATATGAATGATCACAAGTAACTTTAGTAGATAATGATATGTTGGTTATTTTAGTATCATTAAACTTTTTAGTATAATAAGGATTTATACAAACTAATGTTAGTTTTAACTATATTACGAGCTTGGAAGATGTGAAATGCATTTTTGCATAGACTAATTTGATCCCTAGAACACATGGATCTAGGGGCAACCCATGGATGAGGATATGCATGTAACAAATTTATCAGATAGTTATTTTCACGCCAAAACTCATGGTCGTGTATGTTTCCAATTTGCATGAGTTTTTGTGCCATCCAACTGGATTTAACTGTCTAAGTGTATACAAATTGATGTTAGTTTTAACTATATTACGAGCTTGGAAGGTGTGAAATGCATGTTCGCATAAATTAATTTGATCGCTAGAACACATGGATCTAGGGGCAACCCCTAGATGAGGATATGCATGTAACAAATTTATAAGTTAGTTATTTTCCCGCCAAAACTCATGCCCGTGTATGTTCCCAATTTGCATGAGTTTTTGTGCCATTCAACTGGATTTAACTATCTAAGTGTATATATGCATGTATGATTCGCTTTTGCTTATGTTTTTTTCTCTACAGAGATGTCTCTAAAAAACATAAAATAGTAACAACATATTTTGTGTTTTAAATTATGATTTTGCTTAAAATCAAGATATTGTTTTTTTTAAATTAACTTGAATATGATTTCGTGTATCCACAAGCAACAAGGTCGAATTCTCAAAACTATATATATATATATATATATATATATATATATATATATATATATATATATAGAGAGAGAGAGAGAGAGTAAGTTGATTTGAGAACATAAAAAAGGTTGAAATCGCAATAACATATCACATCCGTTTAAATTTTCAAATCTATGGCTAATATCAATGTGTCATTTTATGTAATTTGTGAAATTAAGATAATTAGTTTGTAACTTTTATATAGATGTCGAGGTTATTATGTGATTTCATTTCTCTTTGTTCCATAAAATTAGCATTTTAAATATGTATTGGATTCAAAGGAGGTCACCAGAGTGCTAGACATTCTCAGGAGGTAGTAGAGGATTGAGTATTGAATTGAATATCAAGAAAACTGATTTATTTTGTAACACCCTGTTTTGGGATATTTCTTAATTCAGGGTTTGTGGAGTGTAATTCGATCATGTAAAGGTTTTAGGCTTTGAGGAAGTAAAGTTTAGACCTTATTGAAGGTTGATAATATTGGTTACGAGATCTAAGCCCTTGATTTGTGTACTGAAATCACAAAGTAAAATGGGAAAAGTTATGTGTCGGGCTTCTTGCATGGATTATGGTTTTAGTTCGACATGTGTTAAGGCAAAAGTAACTAGATAGAATTGTGGGTCTCGTTAATATCTTTCTATGCATATAAAGAACGCCGAAAACCGAGTTGAAACGAAGAAGTTATAGTTATTTAAAGTTGAATTGGAAGTTGGGGATTTTGTCCTATGTTGGGCATAGGAAAGCTACGATGGGCGTAGGCGCTGAATTCTGGACCCGAGTTTAATGACCTACGTAGGGCGTAGTTATGCTACGTGGGGCGTAGCCGCTGCAGACCAAAACCCTAACCTTAAGGTTTTGATCCGTATTTAAGGGGTTTAACTTCTTGGAATCCTTCCCATGACCAGCCTCCATCACCTAATATTGTTCTTTTGAAACCTTAGCCATCGATTGTGAGTTTTGGAGCTTTTGGAGAGTTTTGTGTGCTCTTTGAAGGAAGAAAGTGTTTGTAGAATCAAGTGAGAAGCTTCAAGGTGTGTAGATCTGGAGCTTGCAAGCCAACATCCATCTCTGGAAGGTATAAAGCTTTCATCTTGATGCTTGTACATGTTATATCTAATATGGTTATGAGCTTCATGCTTTTGTCCCCATAATCTTGGTCCTTGTGAGTATGGATTACTCCAAACCATTTGAATGCCTCCTTCTAATGTTTTTAAGGTTATAGAGTCATAAAAATGAGAGCTTAGGCACTCTTATCCATCCATACATGAGTTCTTGAGCAAAAGGTGGCAATATGAACTTAGAATTTGGTTGTGTGTTCATCTTGGCCGTGCAAAGGGATAAAGTCAGAGACTTTATCCATTAAGACATTCATTTAGATCAAATCTAAGAGTTTGAGAGTTTGACTTGCTGTATTAAGAGCTTAATAGAAGTTTTTGGGATCAGGGGCTCTACGTTGGGCGTAGCTCTACACTAGGCGTAGACTTATGTAAGATGAGCTTAACTCTACGTTGGGCGTAGATTAGATACATCAGTTGCAGAAGGAACTCCCGCTAACTTCCTCTAACTAGCTCATGAATACAATTACATATCACTAAAACCAGATAATTCTTCGAATGAGAGGTCTCACACTACAACAATTGGCCTCAAACAAGAGTTGCGCAATAGAGTTAAAACCTAACCTTCTAAAATTATCTAGTCTCAGTAATATGTAACTTAACATATTCACTTACTAGTTAGTTGAAACTAGTGAGAACTCCTAAAAATCACAAAGGAAGCAACATTCGAGCATCGAGTAATCAGAACCAAACATAACCTAATCAGGTCATCCTATCACCGACTGGTCAGTACTAGCATGCAAGTCTACAAGCTCATACAATAGACATACAAAGGCATATCTCCTAGCATTCTATCATGAAAATACTGAGCAAATCCTTAGCCCTAAGTAGCATGTGATTCACATATTCACAATTTAAATCATATCAGATAACATGTATGGGTATTTTGGGAAAACTTACTTGAGCTCGGTCGATTGTATGCACCACACCCTTTCTCGTATTAGAAAACCCTTTTCTTTAAAGATATTTCTTTTTTAAATTTTTTACCAAATCCTCAGTTTGAGTTCAGACACACTCGAGAGTATGTCTGAATCCCTCAAACCAAGGCTCTAATACCAACTTGTAACGTCCCAAAATATGACGCAAAAATTTCATTTTTAAAAATTCATAAAACGGTAACCCAAAACATTGTCATAAAACTAGAAAGACCAAAGTGTATCACTACAACACAAAATATCAGAGCAAATCTCAAAATGCGGAATAGAGTGGTGTGTGCTCTGCAGTTATCCCAGACTCTTCCCTTTCGAACCAGAAGTACCTGAAACATAAACTGAAAACCGTAAGCTCAAAGCTTAGTGAGTTCCCCAAACTACCACATACCATACATAATAAACACATGCTAGGCCCCCGCCCCACATCGGGCCTTGCCCGACATCGAGACCCGCTCGGGTTACAGATCTGTCGTTCATTACTCATTAGGCCCCGCCTGACATCGAGTCCTGTCCGGTATACATATAAACATATAAACGTATAAGCATGCTAACGCGTACGATAATCACAAAGTCAATAGCATACAATACTGTCATCGGGCCTCACCAGCCATCAAGCCCCGCTCGGTATACATACAAGCACATAACACATGCAAGAGTCACACAAACATCTATCATCCTAACATAATAATCATAGGCTGGCATTGGTGCCTTCGACCTGTTAAACCCAGTGAGGAAACTCACCTCTGACTGATGAATCACACACATAATTCTCTGGTTGCTGGTCCGCTAAAATCCCCACGCTATCAACATAAAATTTCATACAATTAATAATTGGATCCCGACTCACACTCAGAGTCCAAACTAGGGTAAAAAACCTTTTACCCTTTACCTAACTTGGCCCAAGGCCAAGGCCCAAGCAAACGATCCAAAAGGCCCAAATTCCAAAATGATCACCCAAGGCCCAAATATGGCCCAATTTTCCACATTGGGCCGAAATCCCTTCATGGGCCTTCAACCAAAAGAGTTCAATAAAATAACATCAGCCCAAAAATAGAATTCTGATGGCCCAAAAAAGCCCTAGACTCCTAAAGGTCTAACATGGGCCCAATATCAAAAAGCACAAAACTCCGAAGCCCAGTGCTGAGTACGCGGGGCGTACTCAGCTCGTACGCTTAGCGTACACGCTCTGGGGCTTGTACGCGCAGTGTACCAGCTTATACGCCCTGCGCACTCCCCATTTGGCCAACTTTCATCATGAAGCTCTTATTCAGTTAAGACTTCAACCTAACTCTCAGACTTGGCTTCCTTAAGGTGGCTTATCGCGTAAAGTTGGCAACTTTACGTGCATGCATGGCGTAATGGGGTTCTATAGCTCAAAAGAACTTAACAAAGGGTCTTAACACATGTATGAATCCATGA